TGTCACGCTGAAGCGCGTGAGCGTATCCAGTGGACTGGCGAACTAGCCGGGCTGCTCGGTCGAAATCGTATTGAAAGCTGCGTCTGCAGGTGTTCAGCCGCGGGAGACTAACAATCTGCCGCATAGGGCGTACAGTCGGAGTGAGATGTACATAGTGAAGGCGAGGCAAGCTGGACGCGTCGTCGCGACGCCCAAGGACACGACCGTCTTCGTGCGCTCGGCGCGCCGGAAGCGTCTTCGCGAGGTAGCATCTGAAATCGCCGGAAACAAGAACCGGAAATCCGTCCGATCTCGGCAAAGACGTGCGCGAGCGGGGCTATCGCGTCTTCTGCCCTACAAGGACGCACTTCTGTCCAGGCGCGCTCCGCGAGTACCGGACGCTAAAAAAAGCCCTCCTCGAGCGCGCCGGACAGATTCTTATGAGGACGGGTTGATCGGACGGGAGGTGGAGCAGGCCGGCGCTGCGCAGGAAGGAGCAACGGAAGGCCGAGTATTGCACGCGTCGACGCAGCATGGACGTGGCTGCAGACCGGAATTCGCTGACGTCTGCTTGCGCAGAGTCACACGAATCATGCAGCGACAAAGATGAAGCGAGACGGCTGGTGCGCGTCGACGATGTGTCTCTTCGACGGACGACGCTACGTCGACGTCGTGCGGGTCCGCCGCCGCGATGTAACCCCAGGAGGCTCTGTCGAATGCGCTTATCATGCAGGGCGGCCGTCAGCGTCGACGTACACGTCGGACCGGCCCGGGGTCGGTCCGGACACACGACGGATGGAGGCGCGACTCGCGTTGACGACGCGGCACGTCGATCGACGGATTAGATTACCGCGCCGGCGGGGTGCGAAATATGTCGGCTATACAGACGCGGGAGGGTAGCGCCGACGACGTGACGGCGACGCGTCGGCCATGCGGCTGCGCCGCGGTAAGGGCATACGGAACGCAGCAGGCGAGCGACGGCGCTCGGGGAACGTCAGGGCGGAACGACTTCGAGAGGGACCGAGAGTCCCTCGAACGGTGGTCTTCGGCCGGCAGGGGCCGTGAACAGCGAGAAAGTTCGACGGCGGAGAGGGCTATGTCCTGCACGGTTCGATCAACGTCGCCGCAGGGCCAACACGCCGCTGATCGAGCCGACGACGCGCCATCATCCGCTGTCCGCAAAAGATGTTTCGCTGCCCGTGTAAGGCGTCCGGCGGCGACGGAACAATCGAGAGATGCCGTGGGCGTCCTGCCCGGCGCGATGATACGTCCACGCGGCTACTTAGTGCAGACGACTTATTAAGCGGGGGTCGCTTATTGTTGAGGGTTATTGACATGTGCTGCTCGCGTGGATCGATGGGCTGGTACAGCCCTTCTCTACACCACACACACTACAGACACAAGCTCCTCAGCCACACCACCACTACACGGCGGGTGCACACCCACGACACGCACGGCGCACGCACGGGGCACTGCAGCGCACGCACCAGACGCCACCACACAACCAGGATGTGTGAATTGGGCCGCCTGGTGCCGCCGCACCCACCCACAAGGTCACACACCACACGCGCGAGGGAGCCACACCACCAACACACACACACACACCCGCGGGCACACGCTCACCACCCACACACACACCACACGACACGACCACACAGCACCACAGCACAATCAACACACACAGCACAACAGGCCCTCACACACAACCCACACGCAACGCACACACACACACACACCCCCCACATGACACACGAACAACACACACACACACACACACACACCACACCACAGCGCACACACACACACACACACAACACACAGCCAAGCACAGCGCGGAGGGCGAGCCACAGTAGGGAACGACACCCCACCACACACACCACACACAACACACACACAGCGCACCACACGACCACGCACACACACACATACGGAGGGAAACGACGGAGCGGCGGACAGTCCGCCATAGCAGCCAGGTTGGTGCGAATGGCATTCGTCGGCCATGCCAGCCAGTGTGCGAGCATTCGGCCATGCCAGCCAGTGTGCGAGCATTCGATACTCGCCAACGCGCGGCAGCTTAGTCTAATTAGCGACGAAAATAATTATTGTCGACCGATGAGCCGTGAACCGTGTCATCACGCCTCCGCCTTCGTAAGGATTACGGTCAGCGCTGGCATGCCGACGGTGAGGCTGGAAAGGGGCAGTCGAAATCTGGGATGCTGATGCTGATGATGGTGATGATGATGATGGTAATGATGGTGATGATGATGATGATGATTATGATGATGATGATGGTGGTGGTGATAGTGAGGATGCTGATGCTGATGATGAGGATGACGATGATAATGATGGTGATGATGATGATGGTGATGATGATGATGCTGCTGCTGCTGATGGTGATGATGATGATGATGGTGCATGGCTACCACTCTCCCGTACAAGTACAAGTATAATTACATGCAAAAAGTCCAGTTATGAGTACAAGCACCAGTATGTGTGAAAGTACAAGTACGTGTATAAGTACAAGTACGATCACAATTCACAAGTGCAGCGCACAACTACAAGTACAATTGCAAGTACAAATTCAAGAACGAGTACTAGTACAAATACAAGTATGAGTACTAGTACAAATACTAGTGCAAGTACATTGTATAGATATGTTCATGGTAGTATTAATAAGTACAGATGCACATACTACACTGTATAGTATACAGTGGTGATTTTTGGAGTATACGTCCACATGGTCCTTAGCTGATGGGCACGCCCGGCACGGCGTATGTATCGATTGGTATTTGAGAATTATTATTTTATATTGACATTGCTATTTGACAATTTGTATTTGAGAAGTGTTTGGTGTTTTGAGAAACCCGAAACTACGAGAAAACCATCCTACATATTTATCTCCTGGCATCCACTCTGCCTATTTCCTCCCCAGCATCCTCCCTACCTGTCTCTTATATATGTGTGTGTGTATATAAGAATTTTAACCGAAAATATTATCTTATTGTTACAGTCATAGATGAAAAAAATATCGTGTATCGTTATCATCGTACATGGCTGACAGAATGTCACGTGATCGTTATAATCGTAGATAGCAGACTATCGTATGATCGTCGGGGCCTTCCACAATTCATCGTAGCTGAAACGCAGAAAAGTCTCCGGCAGCGGTACCCGTCCCTCGTCCTTTGTTATGATTTTCGTCTTCCTTTTCTTCTTTCCGCGGTCAGAAATCGCACGGCAGTCGTTCGCTATATAATACGGCTAATAATGCGGCTATAATGCGAGAGAATGTGCGACAAGTGTCTCATGTAACGCGTTGTATATCATGTATCCAAGAGTAGATAATAACACGATGTGTTATTATCTACTCTTGATGTATCCGATATCAAATGCAAGCCGCGCTCGTAACGATTCTCTTCTGCTGCAACCCCCCCCCCCAAAACACGCCACGCAAAAAAACAAGCCGCCGTAGAAACAGACGAAACTACTGTGTTCGCCATATTTTTCGCGTACAGATATTTTCGCGAATTCACACTTGACGGACAGTTTCGCGAGGGGTTAATTTCGCGTTCGGCGAATTATGAATTATTCGGTATTATTCGGAATGAACTATTCGCGTGTTGTTATTTTCGCGGTCGGGGACGCGTTCGCGAAACTCACGAAAATTAAACCACCGCGAAATATACAGCCTATACAGTATTCGATTGGTAATCTCGACATTATTTAATCATGCGGGGCCGAACTACGGGTTGAAATTCCGGGATGGATTGCTGATTCTGACGTCACCGCGCGCGTAATTCACAAGAGCCACGTAATTAAACCACTGGGCCGCGTGTGCTGACGTCGGTCCCCCCCCCTCCCCCGGATACACATGTATCCACTGAGCTTCTCTCGTGCTCGTTTATTTCTCGTTTCTTCTCGTCACGATGTGCGTTTTATTTCTTGCTGTAGCATGCGCTGCCGACACGTCTGCAAGTGTGCTAACCTTCTTGCAGTACCCCGCTTACGTTCAGTCTTCTCCTTCTTTTAGTCACGTAGTATTCGTTCTTTCTCTTCACACCGTACGTTTCTAACTTGTTACTAACTACACACCTGCACATGTGTTTCCCTACCTGTAGTACCCTGTAACATCTATACACACCTGTGTACAAACACACACACACACACACACACACACACACACACACACACACACACAC